ACCCCCCCCCTCCGTTTCCCTCCCTCCAAGCCCCTGCCGGGAGCCAGCAGCGCTGCCCCTCGAGCCCGGCCCGGCCTCGGTTTAAAGAAATTCCACTTTCATCCTGATAAAAGGCACAAAACCTTTCCTGGGTGGAGGATCTTGGTCTCTCCCCCCCCCCCTACACAGATCAGCCCCTTTAAAGAGTGATGCTAGGTGGGCATCAGGCAGGAGGAGCAGAAGACCTGTTGGCATTTCACAGCTCCATCCACTTGCTTGATATCCACCTGTGCAGCACTTTAGTATCGTTGCAATAAAATATTGCTCCTATTTCAGTGCACAATAAAAAATCCTGCTTAATAATGGGACTCAGAAATAATCCTTTACAATTTCTGATTAATCTATAGACTGTTATTGTTTAGTGTTATTGTTTACTCAGCCATTTCCAACAGGTGCATTAAGGAACTTTAAAACCAATCCTTTACTGAAGACAATAAACTACAGTGGCTCCAAGGTCTTTCAACAGAGCCAAAACTGATACGCTACTTCTCTTCTTTTTTGGTCCATTCATTTTTTGTTGTTTATTCAGTGCAAAATTTCAGTGATAGAAGAGATGGGTGTGTGTGTAGGTGTATATTTTTAAATATTTATTAGCAAGGCTGGGTTTAACAGCCTTTGAACAAGACGTTTTACATAGGTTTTCAAGATACATCCTGTATACAATCACTAAACCATGACATGGATTTTATAGACATCTGAGAACTGATTTAAAAGCCTTTCTTGTTTTGGACATTCTTGCAGATATTGATGAAATAATTTGAAAGGTTTCTTTTTCTTGGAGGATTGGAAGGCAAAAATGAAAAAGATAATTTAACAAAACACTGCAGAAGCATGCAACGTTCATTGTGGAAATATTACATCTCTTCAAAGACCATTATAGGATGGGTGTGCATTTGGTGCTCCTGTTATCACTGTTATTCTTTTCATTACTACTCCAAATATCAGGGAAATTATGAATTTTGTCTAACAGAAGGATGGCATTGAGGTCAGTTATCACTGCTGAGCGCTCACATTTTTACAAAATGCAGCCAACTTGTATTGACAATGATATGCTAAAATAACAGATGAGGTCTGGAATCTAAACTCAGCTGTGTTACTCAATACAAAAATGTATATTTACAAGATGATAACATATTAAGGAAACAGCGTTCTTCAGAATCATTGTTCAAGTTGATGATATATAAATATACAACTATAGTTTTTTAAAAAAAACCATCAGAGTGCTTGTGATGTTGCAGAATTAAGTAAACAAATAAAGGAACCACCAGTAAACAAATTACAATTAGAAGAGAGAGTATCCAGATATTATTTTAGTCTAGCAGCAATTTCTAATTCAGGATCTTGCCCAGAATTACACATTCAATTTTCCTTCAATATCTTCATCACATGAAAGAGGCTACTATTTTGTTTACTTTTTTCCATCACAGATAGAGCCATGCTTTCATATGTAGAATGACCTATAATTTGAATATTTAATTATGAGGTGTGATTTAAATAAAAAGCCAAAAATACACTTTTAAATCTACATGAAATCTTTAGAAATGGAAAGCAGACTAGCTTACATACAATATAAGAGATGTTTACTGTTGACTTTTTCATCCTAAGAAAAAGAAGCCATATCAGCTGGTTACCAGCTACAGATTCACACTCCCCATGTTTTGCCAAACAAACGATATAGGCATTTAGAAAAACACAATTTAAGTAACAATAAGGAGCTGGATTTTAATTTTACTGGCATCTCCAATGCACCCACAATGAGGCACCCCTATTTGTTCTGGTAGGCACCCCATGAGGTCTTTCAAAGGGGAGCATGCAGGGCAGAACATAGAACAAAATAAATAGCATTTGTGTTGCTCCTTATACCATCCCTTTAAAGAATTAGGATAACAAAAAATATTTTAGCATTCATCACAGGAACTGAAACACTTTGGATCATAAAGTGGCTTACCAGATGGTGTGTGTGTGTGTACACACACACACACACACACACACATACATATTCTTTCACAGAAATGATCCCTCACTTGTCAATACACATACAGGTTCTGTGCTTTCACTCATATTTCAATTCCCCCCCCCCGAACAAGACTTATTACACAACACTATTTTTACCTTCAGCTCAATAGACTCATGTGATGTATAATAAAGCTCATTGTGCCACCAACAAGATCAAGAAATCCATATCAGGAGAAACTTCACTCTCAGATAAGAAGTCTTGTTTTTGTCTGATGGAAGAAATAAATATAACACAATTTCTCCCAATCCCATCAAGGGGAAAACGTATACACTGAAATATCTATACATTTTCTTAAATACTAAGTTTCTGTGATTTTTCTCTGATAAAAAAATAATTGCCATAAGGATTTTTTTGTCTTCATTAATAAAAAAAGAAACTCCATTGCATAGAATGATGCTAGTACAATCCAGATATCTGACCCCGAGAAACGCTTCAGAGACAATTGCTAGTCCCAGTACTGGTGCAAGAGGGATCGGCTGATGGACAACATCTTCAGTAGTATTTGAAGGGCGTGAGGAGAAAAGAAATTATAGCCTTAATAGAAACTATTTTCCTAACAACCGCAAATTGTCACAAATTAGGTACATTCCTCAAAGCAGGATTGTTACAGTATGAGTAGCTACGACAGGTCCGAAACAGTGGAGCTTGGTCCCATGCAGGCCAGTGACTGAAAAATCTGGAGGGCAAAGGACATTTAACCCAGGATAGCAGAATTAAGATTTTTTTTTAAGAACAAATACATGTATATTGGTATTCACATAAATAGTCACTTGCTCTTGACTTCCTCAACCCATAACAGCATTGCTGCAACAATAGCTTAACTTTCTCAATTAAGAGTGATAATTAAAGACTTATTCATAAGCCTTCTAATTGTTTCTTCCTAGTTCTTGAAATCTCCATGGCAACCACTGGAATAGTCATTGTCCTTGTTATAAACATTGAGAAGCACAAAATTGTCATTCATTTGCACAAATTGCACATTTTATAATTTAAGATTGACTCACTCACATCCCTAGACACCTGACACAGAATGAGGGAACTGGCTGCTTCAGAAACTTTCAGAGGTATAGTTTCAATCTATGTAAGACATTTGCTCTCCTTCTCTTGAGGTACCCATAGGCTGAAGTACTAAATCATTTCTGCATGATTTGGGGGAATGGCCGTGCCAATTGTCCTCAAGGATCCAATTAAAGTAGATATAATTATCAGGAGACAATTAAAAGTTAAGTTAGAATGTTGGCTTGTTACATCCGTTCATATTATACTCTATCACTGCCCCGCCCCCCCGGCAGTTCATTACAGATATAAGTAATGGCTAAAAACAAAATCGGGATGTGAACCCTTTCTTAGTTATTTAGTGCCTCATGAAGTGTTCCTTTATTAAAACATAAAATATAATTTCAATACTCTCTTTCCAGCATTTATTTTCTAGCCTCTGGAGCTCCTGAAAAATGTTCAGATTAAATTAAATTAAACAGATTGTTTAGAATTTATTGTTGTTCAATTTATAATTTTCAGATATTTTAACTTTAAAGGTAGTATAATAATCACTGCCATTTGAAGTCAAACTGTTACTTGGCTGTGCATATGGGCTTTTGATACTGCACAGATCCTATAATAAGATCAGAAAGCCAATCAGCATTGTTACAGGCTAGGGCTAGGCCACTAATTCTGTTTTGGCCGCAGAAGCCATAGGCTGGTTCATTTGTACTCCTTCTGCAAAATGCCCAGTGGGTGGTAATGAATGCTGCAGGCTTAGACTTCTCCACAAACGCCTCCGTCGCTTTGGGACTAAGACCTGCCATTCAGAGACCACACAGAGCCCTCCTCTCTGCACTGTCCTTTCACCCAGCAGAACGGCGAATGGAGGTGCGCGTTTGGGATGAAGTCTGTAGTATGGCACTGTGCCAACTATGGAGGGTGGTATCACATTATAGAAGTCATTTAAAAAAAAGATTCGTAACTCCAGAATGAGCTGAGGACCAGTGGCATAGTTAGTGAATCTAAACCACAGATAGCTTCAGACATTTTGAGTCTCGGTTCCTTCTGGTCAACAACAGCAAGACCGGCAGGCAGTGACACACAATAAATAGGCATGTCTGTTTAGAAGCCCTTTAAATCATTAACTTCATTATTTGTAAACAAGAGACTGAGAAAGGCAGGGAGGACTGTGGCTTCTTTCACAACTCAGGGCTACGTTTTATTTCATGCTATGGTGGCAACTGTACAACAAATCCTGATTCTCCCCCCCCCCCCCATTTCTCTCTCTCCCTTTGGACTTAATGTTCTAGGATCGTGATTCTGCATTATTCACACGGAGAAATACTGAAATTATTACTCTGAACTGGTACTCCAAAAAAAGAAATATAAACATTGCTACTATTTAAAATAAAAATAAAAGAGACTGCGTTTTGCCCCTAGGGCTCCATCTTACTCTGAACGCTCTAAAATACAGAAGAACAGAGCTGAATAATCTTCTGATCGGTGAGACTAGGAAGGCCGTCCCTGGGTGCTTTTGCATAAAAGGATCCCCCTTCTGATGGCACAAGAAAACCCAGGTTCCATTCTCTGGGAGTCTTGCCTCCAAACACAGCCAGAGTTTCTGCATTCCAGCTGCCTTCGTGCGCAGGGACACCCTTCGTTTACAGGGCTACAAAGGTTTTAACATCACTGAACCCTTGATTCGCAGTCCTTATTCCAGTGGACCTGTTTTATCATCTGAGCCAAGGGTGATGTTTTTCTTTTGCGGCCATGTTCTAGCTTTTTACACAGTAAAACCAGTGGACTAGCCTTCATAAAAATGTGCTAGGTAGCCCAGAACAGGTGTTACTTGTTTCATATTCTGGAAAGCCTACCTAAGCCTAACATTAGAGTGGAGTCCTGGGATCACACAAGGAGACTCTTCCAGCTTGAACTGTCTGACACCAAACAAGGACATCTTTGCTCAATGGGCTTGTGTGGAACTAACTAAAAGTTTGTGCCAGTTTACAATTCTTTTCCTAAGGTCCACTTTATCAAGCCAAATATATGCTTCACCAATCAAGGTTTTCTTCATAAACTTTCCTCCATTGGAAACAAGAAGAATCTAGGGAAAAAAGCAAAAAGTAATATATTTCATATGATATTAAAAAGCACTTAGAATACACTTTAAAAAAAGTGATCCAATCATTTTAACTCTTTGCATTAAAAAGGCTATTACACAAAACATTCCACATGGGTTCATGTCCAACCCAGTAGCTCAATATTGCCATGGAATATATTCATCATATATGTCATTTATTTGAGCAATGGCCAATTTTTCCCCCAAGAGGCAGTTTATGGGAAACTTCCATCCAATGAATGTTATTACATCACAAAGAAAGACATTGGAGTGAAGGACTACAATACACACACATGCACACACAACATCCCCCCTCAATGCTTTCAAGCTCCAGTCTGCAACCTAGTGACTCTTTGTCAACTTTTTAAAACTGGCAGTTTTAAGGAAAATATAGAAAAAACTCATAACAATAAAACAACAATTAAGAAATATGAATAAGAAATGTAATATGTAGCTATTCAGTTGGATCATTTATCAAATATTTAATTTCTATTACCAAAAACAAACCAAAGAACAAACAAAACCAAACTCTACAACATTAAATTAATATAAATCATCAAAAGGTATCAGATAAATTAAATAATCCATAATATGTCTACTCTCGTAGAATATTATTTATTTAGCTTGTATAGCTCATGAAAACTATGTGAAAGGGAAACATTGTGTGACAAAGAAGAATCACAAAGAACTCAATCTTGATTGAAAGAGGTCTTACATTTACTTATCACTTTGATCAGGAAGTTTATATATCGAATCATGCGTTTGATCTTGCTGGGGTGGAGGCCATCGCCCAGGATGTCACCAAGGGCGGCCGGTTGCTGAAGGAGGCTTGGCTATCGGATGAGCACTCAATTAATCGCCACATAGAGTTACTTAGTGCCTGCTTATCAGGCACTAAGGAAGTGGGAACAACAGCGTAACGACTTACAACGAGTGCAACGGGCACAGCCTATGCAAGATCAGAACCGCGGGCTCATGCAACGGCAAAGAACTACGACCGCCGAAGGGGAGAAATCCTCAGCACAATCTGCGCAGGAACCAATGATGGGAGGCAGGGTGCCACATACACTACAGGGGGAAACAGCCATAGGACAGGAGACACTGGGGGACCATCTTATGGCAACGTGTATCCAGTCACGCCCAAAGCGGGCAAAGGGAGCGACAACAGGAGAGGCGATGATCCCTGAACCTACGAATATACAGATGGATGTGAGACAACTAGAAGCAATACGATTAGCTGGGGTGGGTAGACCGGTAACACGCTTTATGAGCAGAGTGCAAAAACAGCTGGTCTTATAAGCAGGCTTTCAAACCTCCGGCATTCCACTCTGACGACATTGGCAGTTAGCCGACGAAAGCTTAGTTTATTAAACAGTTGTTGTTTTTTATATTTATCCTGGTGTTCGACTATTTTTCGTATGTATGTATGTATGTATGTATGTATGTATGTATGTATGTATGTATGTATGTATAATGTCTGTATCATGTTTAAAGGACATTAAACTGAGCAATATGCTCCCGTAAAGTGCACAAAGGTCAGGATGGGAGGTGCAGAGTGAGTCATAATGAGAAATCATACAATGTTGCTCAGGACTGGAAAATATTGTCAGCTCTTTCCTTAAAAACCCAAAGAGTTACAATACCACCAAAACAAAAACAAAAACACTGATAATTTGTCAATGTTGTTGGTTAATGTTGAACTATAGGATAACTGAAATATCTTCCAAATCGTTTGTTCTATTTTTTAAAACAGAAACAAGATGGGCTTATCTCCAGTCTACAACACAGTCTTTTCATCAGTTCGAAGAAGGCTCCACACCCATTTGCACACCTACTCAGGAGACTCTGGGGACACAGATAAGCCTCCAGGTGGCCTCAACGACTCTCTAAAAGAATGCAAATGAACACCTGTCTGCAAGGAGCATAAATCCTTCCATTCTCCACCATCCAGTCAGAGCTGAAGAAGCTTCTGGGATGAGAAGTGAAACATCTTCAAGGAAAAAACAAGAAAGTCCAGTTGCCTTGCGAAAAAGCACCTTTGGGATAACTATGACCTGGATGACTGAGAATCTCCATGGACAAGATGGGATTACAATAACCTCAAATGAGAACTTTTAAAATCTTCCTCTCATTTTTATACTCAAAATGTCACTTGAAAAATTTACTTATGCTCAAGGAGAAGAGCATGGAAATGCTGGGGAACATGGTTTTCTGCAGACAAAATTGGAAGAATTGGTCAAGGTGGCTTGCTGAAATAAGCAAAATAGCTGACAAAATTGGGACAACATTCCTAGAAACATTATAAACATCAGGGTCGGGTGAGTGAATAAAAAATGAATTTCAAACGCAAACGCGGAAGGTCCGCGGAGTGGCAGGGGGTGGCAGGTGCCGGGCCCCGGGAGTGAGCCAAGTACCTGGAGCGAATGGCCGGAGGGGCTCAGGCTGAGCCGGAAGGTCTCATTGAAGGAAGGCTCTCGGTCGTGCCGGCACACTCTCGTTTTCTTCTTCACCACCCTCTTTTGAGTCCCAAGGTTGACGACATACAGCTTTACATATAAATCTGTGGAAACAGATGGTTTGACCTATTTTATAGAACACTCAGAGATTCATATTTAATTCAGGATAGCAAACATCATTAAGATCTGAAAGGGACTCCTCTTGGCTATTCCTCCACTCAGTATCTTAACCTCTGGCTGTACTTTGAGCCTCACGACACCCCCTGTGATCCCAAAGCTGTCCTACTGGCTATGGAATTTACTGAATAAAATTCTGCAGAAATCTGTATACGAGGGTAAGGTTAAAAGCCCATGAATATTACAAAAGGGAAATAGGGCTATGATTTATTTCAGGACTCACCTTCCACCCACATTAATTCTGTGAAATTCTATTTCTACTCCATTAGATATTATTCTATTACACCAAGTGGCCTTTACCTGATTAAAATTGTCAGCCCAACTAGGTTTATTGGATAATTCAGTTCACTGTGTGAGTTGGTTTTAACTTGAATCATATGAATCAGATTGATTTGGTATGAATCAGTTAGAACAACAATGGATGAGATTCAAATGCATTTTCTTTTGGAAAGTCTTTTTAATTCACCTAATGAGCAGCAATGAGTTTAGCAAAGGAGGTCAGGGGTGGAGCTCCTCCTCCTCCTCCTCCCCCCCCATCCAGAAACAGATTTTGAGAGTTCATGACCAGGACAGCAGATAAGGGAGGTTTCAGGGCAGTTTAGCGTGGGGGAATTGGCAGCAGAGGCCCCAAATACCATAGGCTTTAAAGGAGGAGGACCCAAACTATGCCTTGTGCTATTGCAAGGCTAAGCTTGAATCTTTATTGGATGGGGGAAGTGAGAAGAGTTTTTATATAGCAATGCATCAGGAAAGGTTAAAATTTCCTTGGCAGGCCAGCTGTAGGAAGAGCATAAAATGAAGAGGAAAATCAGAGAATGGAGGGGGGAGGAGTCCCTTTGTCAGAGACAAGTACGTGGAACCAGGATAACTCAGAGAAGCAAAAAGTCCAAAATCAGAATCAGACTCGTCCCCTGGAGGACATTCTACAGTAATCTCAGCAAACCTTTTTATAGAAGAACGTGGAAGATGCTTTGGCACGCCCAACCTCTCTGGGGATTGGAGAAATCCATGAGCCACCTTGAGAAAGTAGAGGCATAAAATTGTGTGGAATGTTCCTCTCCTTCTTTTAAAAGGTAGTGAGATGTCACCATATGGACCCACAATAGGATGTTACAGGGGGCCTGTTATCGTCCTGTTATCTATATCTAGGATGTAATGGGACATGGCTAAGGCTATCGAGAATCCTGGGGGGAAATGAGCAGGGGCAGAAAAGACTCTGAACTAGTCTCTGGAGACCACAAAAGCTTAGAAGAGGGATGTATTAGAATTGGGACCACAAAATGGCTTTTTTTTTTCATCCGACCTTCTGATCATAGGGCAAGGTCCGCACAATTGTTTGAGTGGCCAGATCCCCAAGTCGGCTGATTAATGGGTCCAACATTAGCTCGAGAGGGAGGAAGGCTTTAGTGGGGAGGCCACTAAGTTCTGTCCTAGGTTTGCGCTGAACAACATCTTTATCAACAATCTGAATAAGGAAGTGGAGAGGACATTTATAAATCTACAAAGCTGAGAGGGGTGACTGTTCCCTCAAAAAGCTCTAGAAACCCTTGAACGATTGACAGTTTATAGGGGTAAGATTATGTAACCTGCAACGTCCTTTCCAGCTTTATAATTTTAATGAAAAAATATGGGACAATGTAATGGACAACCACTTCAGTAGCTCTACCAAGACGTTCCATGGATATGTCTGTGGTGTGTGGGTGTGTATGGGGGGGAATCAGCAGCTGAAAACGTTTACACATGAAAAACAGTTTCACCCAAAGGGCATTCAATTTATGAGAATAATCTTTTCCCCCTTTGTATCTAATGGCAAAAATCCCACTATGTTATTGCTGTACTTAAAATAATTAATATAATATGTAGTTGGGGCCTGATTATTTAAAAGTATTTATTAAAATACTGGCTCATGAACAAATGATACCTGGTAAATGATCTGGAGATTTAAACTTGTAAGTTATATTCCTGCATTGCAGGATTTCCACTATTAACTGTTCTCCATCGGTCTTCATTTCCTTCTTTAAGGCAATCTTTATTTCACCCATCACCTGAGTTTTACCTGTAATAATAAAAGAAAGCAAAATTAATTTAGCCCTACTGAAAGGAAATGCTGTTTTTCTGCCAGATTACCCCTGATATCCCAGAATTTGGAACAGAAAGAGTAAAAAAGGCAAGGGAAAAGGAAAAAAGAAAGAGAAAAGAAAGAGAAAATTAAAAATATAACAAATAGAAAAGAAACTGTAGAGAAGTGACTTCCAACCTTTATCACAAGTATGAACAAATTGTACCTCTTCCCCATTAGAAATGACTGTCTCTTTGTATCATATCCGACCTCTTATCTGCTGTATAAGCAAGTCCTATCCCAGGGTCAGCAGAAAGTTCACAAAGGGTTACCAGAAGTAACAATATGATTTGTTTAAATCTTGATCAAGTAAACCAACGTTACAATCCTTCTTTGTCTTAATCTTTAGCTCATTTAAATATTGTTGCAGGATTTGATTTCTTCACATTCTACCCCACCCATCTCACCTAAGTGACATTTTAGCAAGCCAGTTTTTTAAATCCAATAAAACAAATTATCCAGGTCCCTTTCTTGGTTTATCATTTGTATTTTCCTTGATGTCCAGTTTCCTTTGTACATCCAGTGAGATTTTTTCCCCCGAGTCATTCTTAGACTTCCTTTTAAAACCCACTTTTGGGACCACCACTGTTTAGTCAGATAAAATTTATCCCACATTTGCCATTTCTTCAATGTCATGTTTTGGACAAAATGTATCCATAGAGGAAGGCATCATCTATGATACTGTTGATATTGTGGCTATTAATTTCAAGCTCTATTCTTCAAAACTCTCAAATATTTTCAGTGTTGTAATGTTTTGCTCATTTTTAGGTCTCAGTTAATTAACAAAAAGTAGACTTGTGGTTTCCCCCCCCCCTTAAGTCTTTAATCCCCTCTAATGTCAATTTTTTTGAAATTATAAACTTATTTATCTTAGTTATGGCTTGCAAAAACCAAAATATATTTATTTCCCATGAGAAGCTGTTTGTTTTTTATAATTGGTTCTAAACTCTTATTGTAATAATTTCTATATTCTAATATTATCTGCATCCTTAGTCTGTTTATAACTTCCTAAGACAGGGGTCTTCAAACTTGGCCCTTTTATGACTTGTGGACTTCAACTTCCAGAATTCCTCAGCTAGGCACGCTGGCTGAGGAATTCTGGGTATTGAAGTCCACAAGTCATAAAAGGGCCAAGTTTGAAGACCCCTGTCCTAAGATAAAAATCTTATTTAGCTTTTTGCCATTTATTTCAAAGCCTTTCAATATTTAAGCTTACAATTAACATTTCATTTCATTCAGGATTGAAGGCAAACTCACCAGACATTTTCAAAGTTTTCATTCTGAAGCTCTCTAATAGCTTGCAAGAATTTGAGCCCAATAGAATATATTTTTCATAATGATTCCTATATCAGTATAACTAATTTTATATACTAGTTTTAATTATCCTTGTACATCGCTGGATGGGACAAATTGTCCCTTTTCTCACAATCTAATTGGAGATGCATGAGGTTTAGCATTTAAATCCAGATTCAGATGAATAAAATTTTCTTACTGACAGTAGGTTCTTTACACCAGAGGTCCCCAACCTTTTGGGCACCAGGGACCAATTCCGAGGAGAGAGGTTTTTTCACAGACTGGAGGGTGTGTGGTTTTGTGTGCTGCCTGCATCCCCTGGATGGGTCTTTGCTTATTTGTGTGGACCCGTTGCTGGCATACCACGGCCCGGTACTGGTCCACGGATTGGGGGTTGGGGACTCCTGCTTTACACTGAAAGGGCTATCGTTGCTACCATCATAGCATTTTGGGTTACAATAAAGCAGACAGTTTATTTCTTACAAAAATAGCATTTAGATTAATAGAATAGCAACAAATATTTTCTACAGACTCCTAGATAATTCATTTTGAATTGAGATAGACACTTTACCTTCAATCTCTGTTAATCCTACCCCTGATTGCTTCACAGCTTCTTGTCCATTCTGGCTCATCTTTCCTCTGTTGAAAAACATAGATTGTGTGCTATTAACAAAGGCGATTCTGTAAATGTATAAATATATAAATCTACAGAATGACAAAAAAAATTGCAGTTGATCACAGAGAAGTAAGTAGGATACTAAAAAATATGCAAGCCTCTTGATTCCCTATTTGAAAAAGGCAGCTGCTTTCAATAGAAGGTAACACTTAGAGCTGCCAGATCGGGCCTGCAACATGATGCATAACTACTGAATGGCAACAAAGATGTGCCAACAGCTTTAAAGTTTTGCCACTGCACATTGTTAATCTCATCTGAATATGAGCCAAAGCCAGTGGCACCAAGAGCCTGCTTAACTTTCTAGATTAACCAAGTTGGGCTCAGTGCTGCTGCTGCTGATGATGATGAAAGAAGCCACTTGCAGCCCCCACGTGTGCCACAATGAACTCTCGTGAATGGTCCTGCTGTCCTTGAGGAGACTCCGTGGCTGGAAATGGGACGGGAGGGCAGAACAGAACGATCCGACGGCAGGGAAGGCAGCTGCTTCCTGAGGTCTGAAGGGCTATTCTACTCTCTCTTTTCTGAGTGATTAGCAAAAAAGACAGCCCATGATAAAAAGCCTTACATTCTTGGAATGGGGAAATGGTTGCTGTCCCCCGTGGTGGTGGTGGCGGTGGTGGTGTTGCCGTTGCTTCCTTCACTGTCCACGCTGTATCCGCTGCCAAAGGTGCTGGTGGATGAGCCAGTGGAAGAGACCGAGCTTTCTCCTGGCCTGTGGTTGGCAGACCTGGCTGTAGGGAGCAGAAAGAGTGACAGGGATTGGATCCCACCGGTTGGCTGAACTGATAAAACCATAAGCAATTTAAGTAAGATCTGGCTATTTGCAAGATGGAATGTAAAGTATTCTCACAAGATTCTCCCGCCTTGTGCTGAATTTTGGCTTTAGGGTTATGCCATACCTTTTCTGGGTGGGCTACTTGGGTGTAATTGGGCTGCAATTACAGAATCTGAAGTTAGCATAGCTGAAGACTAAAGGCTATGTTAGCTGGGGCCCTGGCAGAAGGCTATTCTGGCCAAACAACACATTGTTCCCATAATTTCCTCAGAGTTATTGGATACTTAACCACATTAATCTATCAGTAAAGATGCCATTGTAGAACTAAGTCTTTTTAATTCAGGTAGCTCAAATATTACAATATGAACAACAACTGTTAAACATACAGTAAATAGCCAATTTGACTGAAGTCTTATCAGTTAAATCTCAGCTATTATATAGTCAGTTTCTTGACTAAAAGTGCTTGAATATATTTCTTCAGCACTAGTTAAAACTGCGCAAAACCATTGGGACTGTTTAATTTCAATTCCCCAAAATGATCTAAGGAAACAATATCCATTTAATGATCCCAAATTCAGGAGGGAGAGCCAAAATGGAGAGAAGGCAGCAATACCTATAAAGAACCCCTCCTAAAAGTTTACTTTTTTATCATCTCTTTTTTTAATCTTTTGTTTTAAATATCAGCCCATTTTATTTGACATTTATCCTTCCACTTTTCCCCCCCAATGGGACAGTCTTATGCTGGCCTATTGGAAGCTTCAACATATAGGAAGAGTAGAGAAAATCTTCCTGGAACAAAGAAAAATGAGAAGAGGCTCTGACTGCGACATGGCCAGGGAGAGCTGAGAGGCGAGGGCTCATTCAGCTGGAGGGGAGAGAGGTGTGAAAGCCACCAATATTCCCTGCAGCCTAATCGAGACACTCTAGGAAGATCAAGTCATAGAGCACTGAGAAGACAACGGGGACCTAAAAGAAGTTATCTTGTCCTGAAGCTTCCTCAGCTCCATCTCCGTTTATTTTCTGGAAGCCCCTCAAGATCTCGCTTGAGTCACTTGCAACCATCAGATGTTGAGCTGGCTTACCAAGAATAAAGAATTTTCAAACAGAAAAAATACCTCACTGTGGATATCTCTGTACAGTAAGGACAGCCTTTACCAGACCAAGATCTGAGCAGTTGGGATCCAGGGTTAAAGAGGGATGGATGGCTGTGGCTGCTTTAGGACTAAGGCTGACTGACCTCTGAGATCTCTCAATGGTGGGTGGGGAGCGAAGGAGCAGCTGGGGTGCCTGCCGGTGAGGGGGCCCTTCAGGAAAGGCCAGAATGGGAGAGGGCGGGGTGAAATAAAACAAACAAACAAACAAATAAATAAATAAATAAACATTGAGAAAACGTTTATATGAGGCCCAAAGTCCTTAAATATCTTTAACCAAACTGAGGCTGCTGTAAGAAAATAGTGGCACTGATTTAGCAGACATTCAACTTTATTACTGGGCTTTCTTGTTATTTTCTATATTGCTGTGAAATGAATTTTTTTTGGTAATATTGCCCTCTTTGGATTAAATTAGAAATATGTGTGACTCTTTAGAAATCTTGACAAATTTTAGTCTTTAGGTATATTAATTAGGGATTATTTGCTTCCAAACTTGAAAGCTGCTACGCATATTTGATTATTAATATTTAATATTTGAACTAGAATCACATGAGAAATTGACAACATGGAATAATCCATGTGACATGGTTCCGAAAAGAAGTAGCTTTTCAAAGAACTTTGAGGCTTATTTACCTTAAAGAATCCTTTATTTTGCTACATAGCTTCGGCACGTATAATAAAGGATTCTTTAAGGTAAATAAGCCTCACAGTTCTTTGAAAAGCTACTTCTTTTCGGAACCATGTCATCAAGCCAAAAACTGAAACCTCCCACCCTCAATCACCCGTAACAAAGCATAACTCACTCCTTCATTTTACAGTCATCAATCATATTCTCCAATTTTGTGAAGTGTGAATTGCCCCCTCCCTATTTCTCCTGTTACAGCTGACCTTGGCAGTGCTGTGCTGAGATATTGTTATGATTAACTAGCATACTTTCCCATCTACTAGGCTAGTATTGTCTGCTTTAACTCTAGAAGTGATATGCAGGCTTGACACCATGGTTTGAAGAGAAGATATTTTATTAGAAAGCATGGACTAAAAAGGGATAAAATTGGTTTATTTATAATGGTTGTTTTAATGATTTGCTACGATATGTTCTGACTTTAGGACTTACCCAGAGTTTTTGCTTGGCATTATCTACAGCTGAAACGTGCACTGACAAAATCGCACAGCCCAGGTACCTCAGTGGCTGGAATGCTAGTATGCTTAAGAAATTCTTGAAGTGAATCAACAATTAAACTTTACTTAGAGTTAAAAAAAACCTGGATGAATATTACCATAATTACACACTGGAAATGTAAAAGGAGAAAATATGCATCCCTAGAAAATTAATGGTTCCAAATCTTAAGAAATGTAAAATATACTTAACAATGAAACTAACTCAACAAAAAATACTGTTTCTTTTTTATTCGATCTCAAATAATGTTTGAAAATGCTGATTATTAGATTTGCACGTTTGCCTTTGCATCCCTGACTGTTTTATTGTCCTCAGATGTTCCATATAGGTGTTTACAACACAAAGTGGAAAGCACAAAGCAGGCAGCATACCCAGCACAAAACCTACCTGGCCATTCACAGCCAACATCTGACTGAGTTAGAAGGACATTGCCCTTCCTAGTGGATGCCTGGGGGCTGGTTAAATAAAGACAGGAAAGAGGAGGCCACGTAGCCAATAGGAGGAAAATTTGTACCTCCTATTTATTCAGAAAACCACCAGGTCTTTTGGGTTCCTGGAAGGGCGGAAGGCCCATCTTGCTTTTTGAACAGCATACAAAAGAGTTTGGGAACAAGCTAATTTCCAGCTCCTCTTGTCTACCATACCACGAACAAATGAACATACTCCAGTTGAAATTCAACGGCTGCCTTCACTGAGTCTCTCTATTCAACTTCCAGGGAAGAATTTTCTTTTGAAAGATAGATTTTTCACAGCAGAATACATAGCATATGTCAAAGTGATAGCACCAACACAACAAAACAACAACAGCGTCCATGTTGTAATTCATGTACGCCACAACAGGTTTTAATTATACAAAAAGATTGGTTAATCATGCTTAAGGAGTTCAAATTAAATGCATGCCATTTAGTTGGCAATATCAGCATGATGAATTCGAGATTTGGAGGAGGATGGACACTCTCTGTGTTAGAAATCTCAACCATTTATGTGTCTAGCGCTTCAGCAATTAAGAAATCTTAATCTCTTTTAACCCAGTAGAACAGGGGTCTTCCAACTTGGCCCTGTCATGATTTGTGGGACTTCAACTCCCAGAATTCCTCAACCAAGCACGCTGGCTGAGGAATTCTGGGAGTTGAAGTCCACAAGTCATAAAAGGGCCAAATTGGAAGATCCCTGCAGTAGAACATTACCGCTACGAGCGGAGGAGTAACTTCACTGTGCAATGAATTAGCAGGCCCGGCCAGAAGGCATTTGATTTGGGCCAGGGGTTCCTGGGCCGGATGTCTTTCTGCTCACCTCCTTCAGGGTTGAAGGGTCCATCGGACATCACTTTCCTGAGGGCTAGTTGGCTTTGCTCTTTGTTGTCACTGGCTGGTGGAGGCAGATTGTCAGACTGAGTTCTTTGAATTGGGAGGACTCCCGCTATGCTGTGTCTGTGCAGCTTCCTTGCATGATTAGACTGACCGCTTTTATGGGTAGCTGTGGCAGTTATGGGTGAAATGGAAACCCACAATATGTACCTCAGATGGAACCAGCTTAAATGTTAGTCATGCAAACAGAAATAGGGAAAGTCTCTTTTCTGCATTTAAATACGCAAGTTTCTTTGAATTCCAAAGAGACATCACATGAAGAGCAGTAAATGGTAATTAAACTGGCTGTTTCTTTTTAATTAAAATAAAAGGATAAAGAAGACACAGAGGATTTTATTTCCTGCCTTTTGCGTTACGCAACAGTGACTGGGCACCAATTATCATGGAGACAACAAACGGTTGCCACAGTTGGATTATACTAATTTGCCACACACTAAATCCTCAACCTCTAATTCCACGAAAGAATGATTTACACGTGGCGAAATGCAAAAAAGCTGTAATTGTTAAGCCTCATTGCTAACTAACCTTTTTTTATACCCCCATATAACATAGGCTCCGTAGGGCTAATGATTACATTGTTAACAAAGCCAGTATCTAATTTTAATTGCAGCCAATGAATGTCTATCTGTGTGATTGTACTATATTATCATTGACTGAAGAAAACATTTTAAGGATATTGCTTTAAAAAAAATAATTTTGTCAAAAGAAAAGAACATTTACCAGTATAAAACTGAACCAAATACTGTACATTCTTTCATTTTGTTTTTCAAATTCTGATATTTTACAACAGATCTACCCCATTTGATTTTCAAATTTAGTGTGCTGTTTTTATAAATTTTCCACAATTCTCAGGTAGGGGTAGAGCTGGAAACAAAGTATATAATATTTAAATTAGTTGAGGCATTTAGTGACACCAAAGGAACAAAACACAGCAAACCTTTCCCATAAAGAAGTGCAGGATTGTGACTTACTGAGCAAATGGAATACATGCTGGGAAAACAACCAGTTTAGTGGCATTCTATATCTCAGTAGAAAAGGAGACTATCTTTTATTTCTATGTATTTACAGACAAACACACAGAATACTGAACAGGTGAAATGCACGAATGTGCCCAGAGCGGAAAAAAAAGGCCAGGAGCAGGGAAGACGGGGGAGAAGGGCGGGGGAAGGCCACAGATGAGAATTAAGCTGCCATGCTGAGGAATTTTATTTGTGCCCTTTACTTGGTTGGAGACGGAGCTGTTGGACAGCGGCTTCAGCAGCAGCGATGGCTGCCCCAGCATCTTCAAGGTGAGTTTGAGTGACACTGGTTTTGCTTTGGCTGCGAGATGGTCCGTGAGAACGCAGATGTCCCTCAGAGGAAGATTTGGAACTTCCTGGGCTGCTGTGGGACTTCTCAATGGTGGGCATCTGCATATCTGGCAAGGATTGCGGGGGGGGGGGGAGAGGGGGGAAATACCAGGAATACAGTATGTTATTCTTCTCCCACCTCAGAGCCACAGAGTGATTATGCAGGCAATATAACTTCTCCTACTCCATCATCCCTCAACGGGTGGGGTCTTCTCCTCATCTTACTTTGCTGTGTTGAGAATAGGAAGCAGAGAATAATGTCCAACCCTCTAACACTTCCACAGACCCTGAAGAAACAAACTTCCCCCACTCTCTCCGGCCCCCATGTCCATGTGCTACCTGCTCGTTCTGGACATTTGCTTGGTTGGATGCAAACAATGCCTCATGGCCAGAACAGGCTAGGAACTGTATTGGCAGAAATGGAGGTCACCTTCTCTTAATTCTCCATCACTTCCAAAGTGAAAATGGGGTATGTTTCTTTGCTTCCCTTTTAAAGTCTCCCTTTCCCCATTATATGCCCCCCCAGCACCTCCCTTTCTTTGGGAAAATGCCCTTCAGTGGGCCGCAAGGTAGCTCAGTTGTTCATTTGTTGCTTGGCAAAGGAAGAGCCACCCCTTCAGCGGCTCACCAAGGGCTCTAACAGGTTCTACACTCCTAAGAAGTGGTGGACTCAAAACATGGCAGAAACCTTCCCCCCCACACACACACTTCTCCCCCTTTTTTTTTTTTTAACTACGAGTGGTTTCTCTATCTCTCTATCTCTCTTTCTCTCTGGACCTAAAAATATCTTAAGGTTATTTCACTGTCATACTTAAGAAGTGAAATAACGTCCTGGGTAAGGCAGGGGATCCACTGTTCCTCATGTCTGATTTCACATCAAACGGTCCGTATAAAGCCAGAGTTTACCAGGAGAGCCTACCCTGATGTCCGCAAAGAAGGGCCGGGGAAAAAAGTCTTACCTTTGGATGGGTCAGGAAAAATACCATGACTTCTGCTCTTGATGACTGACGGTTTCGGAGACTGTTGGCTACCCTGCCCTGAGTGGGATCTCCCGTGGTCAAGGCTTTCACTCTGCTCCTTCAGAACGTACCAGCGAGGAGTGTTATCCAGGGGAGAGGCACTGGACAGCTCGATTAAGACCTACGCAGCGACAGAGAGCAAACCTCCAGTTTTGAAAAAGCTACACTATTCTGGGTGCACTGAATCTCAAAACTCACTCCAAACCCATTTTATATAACATTCTTGTTATGATGATTGTTCAGTATTTGTGTGCAATGTCCTTATTTCAGGAGATTAGAAATTAAATTGTGAGAAAGAAAGAAAGAAAGAAAGAAAGAAAGAAAGAAAGAAAGAAAGAAAGAAAGAAAGAAAGAAAGAGGGAGGGAGGGAGATGGTAACACAAATGGAGAAGGCGGGGCTGTTTACTTCCATCTATATGGCACTGGATGGGAACTTAAAAAACTCTAAAAGTGGAAGGAAGAAAAAAGGTCTAGTTCATGAGCCTAGACAGAGTCTTTGAGGGTCTGAGTGCTCTGGAATGATGATTGGCCGTTTTGAGGAGAGAGTTGACGAGAGAAAAGTGCTCTAAGAAAGAACAGCTGTTTTTCTGAGAGTGATCGTTTTAAGAATTGCAGGTATGGGAAATGGATGTTGGCTTCATCCAGAGCAGAAGACAATATACACATTTAAGTATTTCATATACACCCTTTGGGGTATCTTAAAGTATCTGAGTATTTTCTCCAGAATTTCACCTTCTTTAAAAATGCGTTGGCTTTTTGACTTCTGGTTTTGTGCGGTAGCGACCGGGCATGGGCTTGCGGATTCTCAGCACCCCCACAGCTACTTTTGCCCTGCCTGGGGACCCTAAATGGGTCTAAGTCGCCCCGGAGAGGTGATGAAGAAAGAAGGGTGCTCCAGCAATTCTGGAATGGCAGCGGCTGTTCCGTTCGACTTGGGGAAAGCCTTCTAACCCAACAGGAGAAGACTGGCCGTATTGCATCGACCAGCCCAAGCTACTTGCAACCGAAGTCCAAAAGCACTAACCAGCACAACTGTGAACAGCATGCTTGAAACTGGGTGAGGAATTTGATCTTCCCTTTTCTATTTTACATTTAATTTCCTGGAAAAGATCCCCAAGAAGCAAAATATCTCCGAAAGGGAAGGAAAGGGATTTCCACCCCACCCTTATACTAACGGAGGTGGCAAATTAATCTTTTTATGGAGCATCAAAATATATGGAAGTGAAATAAATATAAAACCTGAAACTTAAAACTTAAATCTGGATAAATCTAAAATTGTTTTAATGGTTAAGACTTTCATTTCAAAGATAATTGTTCATTTTGGAAATTGAAAAACAAATAGTTGTTGACACCTAGTGGCAGATGAAGACTATGACAGCTATGACTTTAATATAAGACTTGGCAAAATCTGGGAAAAGCTAATCTGTGTTCGTGACCTTCAAAGCTTTAACAACAAAGAACAGCTGTGGGGGAAAAAAGACAATAATCTGGGCTGTAAACAAAAAGAGGACCTGGGATTGGGACAAGAGACTTCAGGAAAACCCAAGCTGTAGGATTGATGGGGAGCTGAAAGACACCCCAAAAGAAATAATGGCAAGCTATCTCCTTATTCTTGGCATGAAAACGACATGGAGGACTTACCTCAAACTCAATGGAAATCATACTTTGCTTATAACTTTACAGCCTAATGCGAAGTCAGTGTCTTAAAAGAAACAAAGGTTAATTGCTATGATGACTTTGTTAATGTATACTTAAACCCTAATAGGTGGGTTTGCACTTTTGGCTAAGCCAAAAACAAAGAAATCCATGATTTTCTAAATGGATAAATGTCACAAGACATTACTGTGCATCTGTCTCTCTCATGGGGCCTCCATCTGGACAAATGTTTCTTGGGATTTAAAAAATATATCATGGGATTGTATTGTCATCTGAGGAGAGGAAAAATTAGCAAAATCAAGGAAAATAGCAAACTTACTTCACCCAAGAAGTCATTAGAGGAGAATCTATCATAATCCCAGACACTGACTTCCAGAGTTTTCTTTTTCAGCTGCAAAAGATAATTGATTTTAGTTCCCATTGTGCAATTCACACCCAGCCCACAGAATATGCTCCACTGAATAACACCTGCCTGTAACCCTCTATGCATCGGCAAGGTGACCACCTAGCAATCATTGTCCTCACATCAACCTGGGGGGGGGGAGATCTTTGGAACCAATTCCAAGTGGAGAAGTTCTTTGGTCAAGCTTTGACCAGGGGCATCCCATTAATCGACCATATGAGTGGCAATCTGGAAAGGTGTAAGAAGTATTCTTGTCCAACTCCTGCTCTGAGTATAATTAGCTAAAGTACTTGGACAGAGGGATCCGTAACCTGTTTATTAATGTCTCAATTTTTTGGGAAGGTGAAAGGAAATTTAGTTCATAAGGATATC